GCACTGTTGCCCTTCTGTTGTCTTGTACCAGTCTTGCCACTCTCCGTTCTGCCGTAACATTGACTAGCCGCTGACGGCCACAATTCGCTCATTCAGACCTTGATTTTCGGCTGACAGTCCGGTCTTTAAACACTTTAACAATGAGCCCCTCTTGAACATTTAACGAATTCTGCTGTTTTGCTGATACTCGCTCCATGGCTCCGAGCGCCAACAATCATCCCACGTTCAAAGGCTGTTAAATCGCGTTGTTTCCCCGTATCTTCAGAAAAAAATCACTTCTACTGTCGTGGTAAACAACCTGCTTCCCTATTTATAATGGTCTGGCCCTCTAGCAACTTCAGCGCAAAATTATAGCTAATTTGCCTACAAACGTCAGGTGGTCATAATAATCTGGCCACTCAGTGTACAATATGGCCAGAAGCATGTGGAGACCTCTCTAAATTATTGAGTTCTGGGGGTTTCCAGTCAGGGCCATCCCTATAATAAGGCAGTTGCCTCAGGTGGCATCTCTTAGAGTCACTTTCTGGCCAAAGCTTCCCAGGTTGCTAAGAGTTAAAGCCAGATGGGGAGACGTGGGCTCTGCATCTCCCCACCTAGCTCTTAGAAACCTGGGAAACTCTGGCCAGCGTCCTGCCCAAGTCCTCATCAGTCCAGAGCACCTGCTGCCATTTTTCTGCACCCCAGTTCCTATGTTTTCCTGCATAGTTGAGTCGCTTAGCCTTGTTTCCACGTCGGAGGTATGGCTTTTTGTACACAATTCTTCCATGAAGACCACTTCTGGCTCGACTTCCCCAGACATTAGATGGGTGTACCTGGGTCCCGCTGGTTTCTACCAGTTCGGTGCTGATGGCACTTCTGGACATCTTCCGATGTTGAAGGGAAGTAAGCATGATGTGTCTTTCATCTGCTGCATAAGATCCCTTGGCCGACCACTGCGTTGCACATTTCTTTGTGCTTTTTCATAAGATCTTGAACAGCAGATCTTGAAACTCCAGTCCGCTTTAAAATCTTTGCCTGGGAGAGAGCTTGCTGATGCAGTATAACATCCTTGTGTCTTGTTGCTGTGTTTAGTCTTGCCATCAGTGGTGTATTTTGTTTTTGTGCTGCCCTAGGCAAGACTGAACTCAGGTACCCCCCTCAATCTACATTTGCCCCACCCCATCCTGTTTAGGGCATTTTGCGCAACCTGTCAGTCACTGGATACTGTGCACACGGGGTCTCAGGAGAGCTGTGCATGGTCTCAGGTGGGCTGTACGGGGTCTCAGGAGAGCTGTGCAGGGTTTATGGTGGGCTGTGTAGGGTCTATGGTGGGCTGTGCAGGGTCTCAGGAGGATTATGCAGAGTCCCTTTCCCTGCATACATGTGCTGCTCCTCTTACCTGCAGCTCGAACTCCCATCAGTACCAACAGGATACATTGCAGTCCCCAGTCTGCTTCTGGGACATCCCGCCATCAGATCACATGCTATGGCCAGCCCTGAGCCACCCGCTGTTTCTCCTCCACCTCCTGTAAAAAGCCAGCCAAACCGCATCTCACTGGACCCTACCCTCCCCCGGGCAGCTCTCTAATTAGGTAGCCGCTCATAGGGCCTTGTTTGCCTCGTTAGGCAGCCACTGCTGCCTGATTCTGTGCCGCCCAGCCTCTGCCCACCGGGAAAGTGCCAAGTATGCCCAATGGCAAGTTTGGCCCTGTCCACCTCATTGGTTTGGGGCAGTGTTTTCTGCCACCCCCCTGGAAAGTGCCGCCCTAGGCAAATGCCTAGTTTGCCTTGCGACATGAAACGGTCTTCCACAACCTCACCTTAGTAGCCGAGTTTGGCTATTCCTCACCCAGGGTTAAGCCTCCTACACAGCTGTTTCTGTTTCAATCAATGACTGTGTTTCAACCTACATATCAAATTGATGATCATTAGCACCTGCTTAGGATAATTGGTTAATCATAGTCACACCAAATATTGATTTTTCTTCTGTTCATTCACTTTGTAAATTGATAAAAATAAACAATACAAATATATATTTTGGAAAGCATTCTTACTTTACAGCATTATTTCACTCCTGCCTAAAACTTTTGCACAGTACTGTATATGTATATGTATGTACTGTATATGTATGTACTGTATATAT